ATAAGCTACTGAAAATATGTCTACAGTTACAAATCCAAAATTTCGAAAATTCATAACTCGAAAATTTGGGCGATTAAACAAAAATAAAATAACACGTATTTCTTTTTTTTCCATATAGATTAAGAAAAAAAAAAAAAAAAAATATGTTTAACCGAATTCTCAAGGTCATAGGATAATCTTGCGTGGAATTGCCCATATATTTATAAAATTACTTACAATTAATTTTTGTGTGTGAGCTTTTGAAATTTTCAACTCTTTGAAGCAGATGCTAAAGGTAGGAGCAGGAATTCTGAATTCTTTGAAGCAGATGAATGCAAGTAAAACACTTCTTCAAAACTTAGCACCACAAAGATGAGATAAATTACAATATTTTTTCACTGATTTTAAAGTAACATCAAAAACTTTTGAAAGTAAATTGATTTTGCTTTTACACTTCTGACACTTTGACACAACAGGGCTTTCTGGTTCAACTCTAAGAATAACCTGTAAGCTCTAGGACAAGAGGATCAACTGAGCAATTCTTTACTTGAAATTCAGAACGTAGCCTTGAGTGTCATTAGCACTCTACCCCTTCCCTTGTAGAAGATGAAGGACCCACCCCTTGTGCTGGGTTGGTCCAGGCGGGCCTTTTGGGCAGTATAGGTGTGGCCTAAATCAACAGAGTTGATTTAGGTGGACAATTTTTTTCCATCTGACGTACAACCGAGTTATACTGTATATAAGTGTATATACAAAATAAATAACTTATTCAATAATAAAATTTAATTATATATATATATATATATATATTTCTGTAATAGATAGTAAGATAAATATACAATTAGTTATAATATTATAATATATAAATAAATTATAATAATAAAATTTAATAATAAATTTCAATTAAAATAAAATTGTATTAAAACATAAGCAAAAAAAAGTTGAATTATACTTTCCCCAGTAGCACGTAATATTACAGCGATATTGGGAACATTGCCTTAACATTACCAATATTGCCTTAATGTTGTGACATATTGCTGGAATGTTCCCAATATTACGTGCTACTTGGGTTTAAATTTGAATCAATAAAATACCCCTGACAGTTAGTAAAATATAATTGACTCGCTGTCATTTTGGTGGACGATTTTTCTTTATTTAAATCTGTTAATTTTATGACTAATTGTCATTAAAAATTCATTGCTTCTTAAGTATAGAATTTTACTGATTGCCAGTAATTTTTTTGCTAAATGAACCAGTTAATCTATTTTATCAACTCTCTAAAATTGAATTAGTAAAAATTGTTACTAATTTTGAATTAGTAAGGTTTACTAATAAGTTAGCAGAAATTACTAATTATTAGTAAAATTTACTAATTTAAAAGCAGAAAGTCAATCACCAATAGTAAATCACTATAATTCTCAGTGAATACCTTTTAACAATCAGTGAAAATTAAATGATTCTCAGTGATTTTATCAGTAATTTTTCACTGATTTAAATTTAATGTGATAAATTATCTGAAATAGTGATTTCATTGCAAAAAGAGGTGTCTTATTTTGCAGTGTTTATACTGAATTAATGAAATTTCACTAATTAATTACACAAATACACATTTTAAATCAGTAACATACTTGTCGTTGGGGATAATCAGTAAAATTTCGTTAATTCAAATTTATAAAGTATAATGTAAATGTCTTTTTTAATATATGATTAAGTTAATGGAATAATTGATAATTAGTTAATAGGTACCTAATAAATTCACAAAAGTTGTCAATGATTGAATTTAAAAGTAAGTCGAAAAAATTAAGATATAGTGTTTATTATTAGAGAAATAATTTAATCTTAAGAAAAATAAGAGTGTTTTTTATATTAATTATAAACACTATACAAGAAAATATCATATATAGTATGCGTTTCACATAATGTATAATATAAAACATGTCAGAATAAAATTTGATTAACTTTTAAATGTCGAAATTTTTCAGAAAAATAACAATATACATCAACAGAAATCTACTATAAAACCTATACTATATAAGTTTACTACTATTTTATTAGGATTTACTTTACATTTTTTAGATTTGTGACACTAAGAGCTACTGTTTTCTTCATTTTTATAAATCTACAAAACTATTTAAAAAACTATTATTAAAATTTTTATCAATTAAATAATAATTGATAATAATTGATCAATTAATCATAAATAAATTTACAAACAAATAAATTCTTACTAGACACAAAATTTATGCTTTGTAAGTAATAAAAATACTTTTAAGAAAAGGTTAAAAATAATATTCCGTTGTAATATTTAAAATAAAAAATGGTTATAATCAATAATAAGCTACAGTGATAAATATATATATATATATATATATATATATATATATATATATATATATATATATATATATATATATATGGGGCATTCCACGCCAAGTCGGACACCTGTTGACTTTTGCATCTCCGATTTTTTGCAAATATTTTTTTTCTTTTAGTGCTGGTTGAAAGGAACTTCCATGATTTTTTTCAAATTTTTTCATGAAGTAATTTAAGAGATCTGGGTTTTTGAAAAATCACGTTTTTTACATAAATTTTTTTTTTAAATGCTTATAACTCGGACAAAAATTGATCAAATTGGACGTTCGATATATGAAAATTTTTGTTTTTACACGTAGTTTTTGATAAAAATATCAAAAAAAATTTTTTTTTAATTTACCAAAAAAATTTTAAATTTTAAAAATAAAATTTAATTTTTAAGAATGTATGTATCGATCGATTTTTTTCAAATTTTTTTGTAAGAAACTGGTACTAAATTAAGAATTTTTAATCCTTGTCTGATTGTGGGCAAACGATGGGATCTATTTATTTTGTAATTTTTAATTTTTGTATACGCAGTGAAAACGGTAGGTAGCCAAATGCGTAACTTGACATTTGACCAAATCACGCAAATTTTTCAAACCAAAACTGTTTTCAGACTGAGTCTCTCCGAACTTAACCTTCTTACTGTTAAAAAAAAAGAGATTTGATCAAATTGCAAGTTAGGCATTTGGCTACCTACCGTTTTACAAAAATTAAAAATTTCAAAATAAATAGATCCCATCGTTTGCCCACAATCAGACAAGGATTAAAAATTCTTAATTTAGTACCAGTTTCTTACAAAAAATTTTGAAAAAAATCGATCGATACATACATTCTTAAAAATTAAATTTTATTTTTAAAATTTAAAATTTTTTTGGTAAATTAAAAAAAAAAATTTTTTAAATATTTTTATCAAAAACTACGTGTAAAAACAAAAATTTTCATATATCGAACGTCCAATTTGATCAATTTTTGTCCGAGTTATAAGCATTTAAAAAAAAAATTTATGTAAAAAACGTGATTTTTCAAAAACCCAGATCTCTTAAATTACTTCATGAAAAAATTTGAAAAAAATCATGGAAGTTCCTTTCAACCAGCACTAAAAGAAAAAAAATATTTGAAAAAAATCGGAGATGCAAAAGTCAAAAGGTGTCCGACTTGGCGTGGAATGCCCCATATATATATATATATATATATGTGTGTAAGAATTTATACGAAAAAGTTTTTACAATGCAAAAATATATACGACAGTTTGATAATTTCGATATTTCTTGACAAATAGAATCCTAGAAAGATTTAACCAAATTATACGATAAATAAATTAACTTTCGAATTTCTCTAAGTACATTTATAATAAACAATTATTTTAACGAAATGAAATTAAACGATTCAAATGTTTAGATTATTTGTCAATAATAAAAAAAAAAGTTTATAGTAAGAGATGATGTAATAAATACTTAAAGCAGAACAATTACAGAAACAAATTTGTCTTTAAACGACTGGTTCATTAAAATAAAAATTGATAAGACAGTAAATTTTTAGAAAAACAATGATGAATTATTAAAAACGGAGGGAGATAAATTAAAGAACGGTTTAGTTAACCTTAAAGACGAATTATTAAAAACGGAGGGAGATAAAATAAAGAACAGTTTACTAAACCTTAAAAACGATTATTAGAAACGAAGGGAGATGAATTGAACAAAAGTATAAATAAATAAAATTCACACTAGAAAATTATGAGACTCATATAGTCAGAAAACAGTTTAAATTAGTGAAAACTAAATTTTCTGCATTTGCGATTGTTTTAAAGAATCCAATATATAAGACGAGTTCATTAGAACCGAAAATAAGACACAGAAATTTTATTTTACATTAATATTAAGATTAGTGAAAATCAGTTGACTGTTAAACAAACGATAGAATCTAAAAATTAAAACGATTGGTTGAGAAGAATTAATAACGAATTGTAATTGATGACAAAGTATAAATTATATTCTATAATAGATTAACTAATGATAGTTAAAAATAGTAAAAAGTCAAAATATTTATTTATATGAGTTTTTCAATCGAAAATACGACAGTTTAAGATCTCTTAAATTGAAAGCAAGGCCAATAATTCCAGCATTTATAACATAAAAATTTATATTATTTAAAATAAATTTATGCGACAGTATTTAAATATTTATTTAGATATATATATAAGGGCTGTGCCCATTCGTACAGTGTACTAAGTATATAAAAAAGTATGACAGAATTAATTACAAAAATTAGTTGGCCGCATTTACATCATTGTTATTATTATCATAAATAATCGCTCGCAAATTTTTTTAAAAGGTCTAAAGATTCAGATATTCGATTGGCAATTTTATTATATGATTTGGAAGTACGTAATTTTGAAAAGCAAGAGGGTCCGCTATCAGAATGCGAACGCCACGAAACGAAAGGCATGTTGAAATCTCCAATAATAATTAAAATTGCTGACGGGAAAGAATTGTATACTTTTTCAATTATATTGCAAACAGTTAAGTAAGTATGAAAGGTAGAATTAGGGGGTATATAAAATGTGGCCAAAATATACAATGTTTTGTTAGATAAAAACTTTACGAAAATATGTTCAACTGAATTGTCATTAGTGACTATAAGTGAAGCATTTAATGTTGAACAACATGCCACAAGAACACCACCACCACGAGAACACAGACTGGTATTTGCATTTCTGTCAGAGCGAAAAATATTGTAATTTGAAAATCCAAGTTCCGAAGAGTGAAAAGATGAATTCAACCAAGTTTCGGAAAAAATAATTACATCATAAGTCACTGTTAACAAAGCTTGGCGAAGATCAACTAGTTTACCCCTCAGTCCCCTAACATTCTGATAGTAAACAGAGAACGACTAGAGAACAGCTGAAAATGTATTACACGAGGCAGCACGGGAAGCATTGGATGGGTCAACAGAATTACACAATTCATTGACACCAATATCATGAAACGTACACACACACTGGTTCACTGCTTCAATCGTCGAGAAGTAGACACCAGTGATGGAGCTCCATGACGATAAGCTATGCGAACATTCGTCTCCCCTCCTTCGCGTCGTTCTTCTAACTCCCTCCTTAGCAATTTCATCTTCTCCAGTTGAATTTTTGTCATATCTCGCGACAGGCGCATATTCAAAATAAGAGGTTGAGTGACAACATCCTTCTTTAAATATTAATTTTTATACGAACAGTGTTAACAACGATAACTCATAACGATCTTAATCAAACTCATGTGAACCTGAATGTCTGTTAGATATGAAAATTCGACTTAGAGACAACAAAAAGCATGACAGTTATACAAGAAGCAAATGTAAACGAAATTCTGATCAGCTAATAAATTTTATAAAATCAACAAATGTATTAGAACAGTTATCAAATCAAGAACAAAAGGAACGTGGAAACAAATGACAGTTTGGAATTCTATGAAAAAGCTCTTGATATTTCTTAACGAATAACGATTGATTAGTTTTCTATCACGTAGATAAAACTATAAATTAAGATTAAATGAATAATTTAACGTTTGACTGAAATTAAAATTATATTTGAACTTCATAAGTAGACGAAACGATCTGTTTGCTAATTTCAACATAAGTTTTTGCTAATAGCAAATAATGTTTTTCAGATGTGATTCTTGTAATGCGACTGTTTCAAGACACTATCTCTTGAAATACAAATAATCAAATTTACATTGTTTATTGAAATTTGAGATTGAATATTGCTATTGATGAAAGTCAATATTTTAACAAAATTATGACGATAAGCGAATCCCCGACGAAAAAGTTGGATAAAGTTTTATTTACAACGACTAGTTAAATACCCTCACAGCACCGGGATATTCAGGATATCCCAGAGACGTCCTGGGGATATCGATTTGTTTTCGGAAGTTTGGATATCCCTGGATTATCCTCTGGATATCCATGGACGTCCCTAGGATATCCCAGAGATATCCAAACTTCCGAAAACAAAAATATCCCGGTGCTGTGAGGGTATGATAATAAAGCTGCAACGATATGTACAAAACTATTGGCGAAATAAATTAAGGCATATGACATGACGGATGTTCATCAAGATTGTATGAAATAATATGTGAAGTACGATTGTGTAAATATCGAATGTTTTTCAATTACATAATAATTGTCTGATATAATAACGAACAACAAAGTTGTGTGATAAAATTTCAATGCAAAACTATATATATACCTAATAACGACAGATTCCTCTTAGGTAATTTCAAAAAAACCAACTAATATATAAGACAGTTTCTCTTCTAGACAGTTTGAATAAACAAATGATTAAACGACAGTTCTTCTAAGAAAAATTTAAATGAACAACTGAAATACACGACAGTATACGATATCTGACGATGGTAATAAATATACTGAAATGACGAAATTTATTATTTTCAATAATTTTCAGTTACTGAATGAAACTCAGACATAATGATTGGTACATGAGCTGTTCGAAAGGTGTCCTAAGATTTACAGAACTTATACATATATCAAATTCGACAATGCTGAAATGTCCAGAATATTCAATTTGAGAAAGGATGGACTTGAAACGACTATATTTAAAATAAATTGAGAAACTTATAAATTATTTAAGCTTGAAATTTGTAAAATTGATAATTTTTATTTATATTGTAAACGAGTCAATCTCGGGAGGGAGTGTTGAAATATTGTATATTCGCGCCTAATATCTCGCTTGACTCTAACGTAGTTGATTTTACGTCACTACCGTGTGCGCACGCACTTCTTCTGCTTCTCGATATCGCTTCGACCGTGAACGTCTCGATCGTCAACGAGCTCTTAATAAACGACTGATTTCATCCGTATTTGTGTATTATTATTGACTACATCCTGCTCTAAATAATCTGCATGCCAACAATAACTGATTAAAATTTTAAAACAGTTTGTTTAGTTTTCTTGACTCAGCACGTTGTTGATTATCAATCCATGATTTTACTTGTTGTGCTGTTCTACGTTCTAAAACCTTATTCGCTTGTATAATTTCTTTGCACTTACTCAAACTTGGGAGTGCTGTCAGTTTCATTAAGTCTCCAAAATTCGCAAAAATAAGCTCTTTCTCTTCTTTGCTCCAGTAACGTTTTATTTTTGCTTGCAGAGAATCTGTGGATGTTATTTATTTTCAATTATTAACTTTCAAAACAGCCTAATTTTATGATAAATATGTGAAAAAATGATTTCTTTTCAACCAAAAGTTTACATAATTTTTGAGTACTATTTGTTGCAAGAGGAATATTTTTAAATTTTGTAAAGTTGAAAAAATATTTTAGTTGAAAGTTGTCTAAAATCTATTAAAAATGAATCTCCTGTAAAAGATTTTATTTATTTTGTTTATGAAAACTGAGTCAGAAAAAGAATATAAATAAAATCATATAAAATTTTTAGTTACAAAATCAAATAACTTGAAATTCTGCCTAAATATTGTGTTTATGTATTTACAAGACTGTAATTTCTTTACCATTCATAAATGTTAATCAGAATTTGTAAAATTATTGTTTAATAGTTTTTAAATAGGCCTATCCAATCAATGCTATATCAAGAAAAGTGTTTCAGAATAAATTTAATTCCTGAATGATCTCCGCAGTAACCAATATTTTTATTTTTACATACATTTAATATATTTGTTATCTTGAATGATTTCCGGATATAATGATTTCTTAGAACTTTGTTATGTTATGTATTCAGTTATTCTTATGGAAGAAGACGTCCTCAATCTGTTACTAAAACTGATGATCAAAGAAGTTCTTCATCTGATACTGAAACTAGTCGTCAAACAATACCTCACTCTGAATCTGATCCTGAAACAAGTCCTCAATCAGATGCTCGAAAAAATACTCCAACAAGTCCTCAGTCTGATTCTAAAACTAGTCCTCAACTAAGTACTCAACCTGAATCTGAAAGTAGTCCTAAAACAAGTCTTCAATCTGTTACTAAAACTAATTCTCAAACAAGTCCTCAATCAGATACTAAAACTGGTCCTAAAGCAAGTCCTAAATCTGATTCTAAAACTGGTCCTGAAACATGTCCTCAATCTGATCCTAAAAATGGTCCTTAAATAAGTCCTGAATCTGAAAGTGGTCCTCAAACAAGTCCTCAATCTGATACTAAAACTGGTCCTTAAAGTCCTCAACCTGAATCTCAAAGTAGTCCTCAAACAAGTCCTTAATATGATTCTGAAACTGGTTCTGAAATCTGATACTAAAACTAGTCCTAAAACTTTAAACTAAATTCTGAAACTGGTCCGGAAACATGTCCTCAGTCTGAATCTAAAACTATTTCTAAAACAAGTCCTCAATCTGATACTAAAACTGGTCCAGAACCCTAGCTAAGGGCAATTATTTGATATTTTGGTCATTTTTGACCTTTGCCTGCTCCTAGTCCTATTTCTGACCTTTAGTGGGGCACTTTTGATTTTAATATTTTGTTTAGCATTCTTAAAACTTCATACCCACGAAGTTTCAAACAATTTTTTTCACTGGAAGATTTTTTAAGTGCATTTTGTGCTGAGTCCTTTTGCATAAATGATTTTTTTGACAATATAATCCGCTTAGATGCAAATATTAGTATATCAATATTGTAGGGCAACTTGCCCTGTACAGCTTTCTGATATTTTTGCATAAAATACATGTTATGTCCTTTTTAAAATTTTTTTTTTTTACTGGGGCAAAATGTTAAACTCTATTTTTAGCCTACTAAAACTATTTTTTGATAGGTGTTAAATAGTAGATAAGTTAAAGTATACGTAAACAAGTAATGTAACAACAAATATGAAAAAAATTAATTTCCGGAAGATTTCCGTAAAAAAATCATTTTCCGTAAGATTTCCGGAAAGTTTCACATGTGATTTCCGTAAAAAAAATTAATTTCCGAAAGATTTCCGTAAAAAAATTAATTTCCGGAAGATTTCTGTAAAAAATCAATTTCCGTAAAAAATCAATTTCCGGATAATTTCCGTTAAAAAATCAATTCCCGCACGGGGAAAAGAGAAACGTTGATCTAACAAACTGGGCCTACTTCACGGCAATAACATTGAATTAACACAGATCCACCTGTTAAATCAATATACCACGATAAGTTTGCTTGACCAGAAATATGTCTGCTTGCGCATGCGCAGCGCGTGTGTAATTATGACTGATCAGGTAGGTTATGGCCATATATGAAAATTGACTGATCAGCTGCGTATATTTTTATATAGTCATAAATGTTTTTAATGATTGCGGAAATTATCTTTTATAATGGATTTGCCAAGTGATTCATGTTTTAAATAATTATTTCTTAAATATTATTTATTTTGATGTATAAAATGATTTAGTACGTTAATTCAACGGCTAATGGTAAAATGAATCAAGACACCATCGCCTGACAGTTATTTTCGGAATCAAACTCAGTTACGAGGTGACATTAATACAACATACATTATACTACAGATGTCGCCTATGTTGAAACAGCACCGAAAAACTGTTCATCCAATCTGAAATCGGTATTAACCCAACGTTTCTCTTTTCCCCGTGCGGAAATTTTTCGGAAACCTCTTCCGAAAAGTTTCCGGAGATCCTTCCACATGGGTATGTATATGTTACCGTCAAACCCCGAAATTAGTCAATACTAGTATTACCTAGTTAAAACTAGTTCTGACAGTGGCCTTTCGTCAATACTAATATTAACTAGTCAATACTAGAATTCACTATAATATATAATTTATTTGCTTCAAGCCATTAGGCTTTACAAATGAGTCGAGTCTCGAAGTTAACAAAATTCTAATATGATAAAATACATGTTTTTCTTTTAATTATACAGAATTGTTTACAATTAATTTTATTCGCACGAACACAAATTGACTTGTAGGACCAGATAATGTGTTTTTAATTATTTCAATTATCTTTACGTTTGACAGTGATACCTTCAATAAATGTATACATTTTGTTCACATTTTCTTTTGTTCTTCCTCCAAGTATATCAATTATATAATAAAATGGATCAGTTACATTGTTAGGTGACTCAAACAAAGACAATCTTTCTGAGTTATAAACTGCACATTCAATCAATACATGAAGCATACTTTCCGTCGAAAGACCAAAACAAGTTTCACATCTCTCATTCGATCGAAGTTTTAAAACATTATCTTTGGTAAAAATTCTGGGTGATATATTATTAATTAATCTGCACTGTGCAGTTGCTTTAATTTTATAAAATGGTAGTTTGAGATTAAGATAAGGTTGACGTCCTTGTTCTAAAGGTAAATGTGGGTAAATCTGGAGGCTGCGAGATTCCAAGATTCTAATTTTATCATTTTGTTTGGATTTTTCAATTTGTTTGTTTAGTATAGTCTATTTATTTTTTATAATGTAGTTTGGAGTTAGTTGAATTTCTTGATTTTCGTTTAAACCAGTTGCGCTAATTATTTTAATTATTTGGGAAAACCAATTGTGTTTCTCTCTATTGATATGGTTGTTTGACAAGGGGGCAGCCATTGCGCCTTGAACCGAATGTTTTACCTCGTTTAAAGCAAAATTAAATGAACCCGAACATGAAAAGTGCGCTCCAAGATAACAAAAGTTTTTGACTATTTCTATTTTTTCTTTTTTGTAATAGAACGTGTTATATTTGCTTTGCAATCTACCCCTGTGGAAAATTAGTATTTTTGTTTTTTTAATGTTAACTCCTAAGCCATTGGTATCACAATAACTTTCTAGGCATTTCAGCTTTTTTTTCAAATCGTGCGGGTTGACAGCAAACAATGCTATGTCATCCGCATATCCGGTACATAGTATGTTGTTTTTAGGATCCACAGGAGCGCCTTCCAGGTTTCGATCTCTAAAAAATTTTCCAAAGTCATAAATAAATAGTGAGAAAAAGAAGGGGCTTAAAGTTTCTCCCTGGAGAACGCCTTCTGTGACCTCTGTTGGAACTGAAAGGCCTTCTGGTGAACGTACAGAAATAGTTGCGTAGTCGTACAAACCCTTGCAAATTTTAATAAATTTATTACTTACTCCCAAATAGGACAATTTTCGCCATAATAATTTATGCTTGATGGAAGGGAAAGCATTGACAAAATCTATGAATATCACATAGAGTTTTCCTTTATTTTTATTTAAATAAATTTGTGACATTGAATCAAAAATAAAAATGTTATCAATGCATCCCCTTCCCTTTCGAAAGCCAGATTGGAACTCTGGCAACAAATTACTTTTATTAACCCACTCCGATAATCTCTCATTCAATACTTGTGTAAAAATTTTGGTGATGCAATTTACCAAGGAGATGCAACGAGAATTGTCAGGAATATTCTTATCACCTTTTTTATGGAGCATAGAAGCGTGTATCTCCGACCAGGATCGCGGGACCTCCCCCTCCTCCAAGATTTTGTTAAATAAGTTTTCAATTTAATAAATCCAATTTAATGGTAAGTTTTTGTAAAATTCGTAGTTAATGCCATCTGGTCCGGGAGATTTTCCGTTTTTACAATTTTTTAGAACAAGGAGGAGATCGTCGTGCGTAATCGGGTCATTCAGTATGGAAGGATCAATTTCATTGGAAAGCGGAACAGAGAAATCAATTCGTTGAGGGAAGAGGAGGGAGAAATACTCGTGCCATTGATTTAAAATTATAGAATTTGGAGAGTGAAGTTTAGGTCTATATTTTTTAATTAGGAACCAAAACGTTTTAGCATCACGACAATTGTTTATCGAATCTATGAGAGTTCTTTGAAATTCTTTTTCTTTCTCTAAAAGTATTTTTTTAAATTTTGTTTTGGCTATTTTATATTCCAAAAAATCATTAGTATCAAAATTCGAGTTTTTGCATTTTCTAAGTCTCACCCCCACTTCCCTCTTCGCTTCCACGCAAGATCCGCCATACCACGGCTTAGATAAATATTTTTTAATTGGATGTGACGTTGCACCTCCCTTTCTTTGCATGCCTGCTTCCTGTGCGGACTTAATTATAGTTATTCTATGTTATCAAAATTAATAAAATTGTTTAGTATTGCGAAAAAAGCATATGAAAAGTTCGACAATAAAAAATAATTAAAAAATGTGGTAGAAGTTCAAATTTATATTTTACGAAATTTTAAGGTTAGACTATCAACTTATTTATTAGTAAAATGGGTATTTTATTTTTCTGTCAGTTTAGTTTGCACATCCATTTAGATAAAATAATTATGTATTGTATATTGTTCTTTTCATGAAAGGATAAAATTGTATGTAATTACTATTACAAGAAAAGTTGCTAATACATATCACCAATATAATAGTTTATTTAACTAAATTTATGAAAATTAAACTAGGAAATAAGAAAAATATTATTGTTTAAATATATGATTTTAAAAAATGTTTGAACATCGAAAATTCTAAAAATGCATATGAGGAGCTGAACCAAAGAATCTGCCGAACGAGCCGTTGCAAGGAATAATATCATTCAGGTATTATAGTGAGTGGCTCAGAGTCGCTAACTGCTACCTGACTAATTAAAACTTTTATTTTTTATTTCGTTTCAATTTAATCTAATATGTATAAAGGATTTAAATTTTCCATTTAGACTTTATATAATTAATTTTCTTATTGCAAATTGTTCAAGTATATTTTGTTTTATAATTTAAATTCTGTAATTCTGTTTAAAACATAATATTGAAATTAAATTTCCTTTTTTAATTAAAATCTAAAGTTTAATTTTTATTTAATACAAACAATTAAACTTATTCGCATTAGGAACAAAAAATGAATATGATTTCTCTAAATGTAAATTAATCACTTTTTACAAATTAAACAGCACTCTCTAAATTTGAATTAGTGAAATTTGAATAAGAATCGCAGTAACTATTTTCGTAATTTGAATCAGTGAAATTTTACTAAAGATCAGTTAAAAATTATTTAAGTTCCAGTCATTTCTCACTGATTAATCAATTAAAAAATAATTTAAATTTTCAATATGAGTGACAGAAAATTTCAGTTATTTTTTAATTGGTCAATCAATAAAAAATGACTGAAATTTCACTGATTCAAATCGCTTGAATAGAGTCACTGATTTTCAATCAAATTTCATTAACTTTTGTTTTAG